GGGATACTTGTTTATTGAATCGCTCGTTTCCGATAACCGAAAGATACAAACGTGCATCCGGGAACTTTCGAGATTGAATTTGTTACGATACAAACCAAAAATACGAACGATCAATTCAGTCTTCGCGCCACGAATTAAGTAGAGGAAAGTCCCCTATTATGAGATAGGCCCCTAATAAGAGATAGCGGAGTGACTGCTAAATTAATAGGCGTCATCCGTTGGTTCCACCATGAATTTATTGCCCTTGGAGTGAAATCTGTTTAGTGGAAAATTGATTGTTAGATCGTGTAATTGTCGCGAAAAAGGATTTGTGATTGAATTTGAACGTTGAAAACCTATTATCTCGTATTAGAATCCTACCTCATAATAGAGGACTTTCCTCTACATACCTTCCAATATGCTCGGAATTGCACACTTGTGTAATGAATAATCCGTGATTGCGGGTTGGATAAAATCAGGCTGATAAGAATTTATAATCGATCGAGATACTGTTAGGATCAAATGTGTATCTAGATATCCGTTATCGAAACGGTCACACTGCGAGAGACTTGTACAGTCTAAAGTCTTCTCTAGCCGAGTCTGTATACATCTGCCACCTTCGCCAGTTCTATAGCGACTGACTGTGTCAACCGTTTTAGCGATGATTCTAGCAATTATCATTAGGACATGTGCTTAGATGGCGTTATTCATTACTTGCATTTTCCAAAGATTTATCTAGAGAAACGCCGAGTTTACGTAAAAGCCGGTGGAAATACTGCCAAAAGTTTTTCTATCTCGAGACACGGTAGTGTCTCGCGCCAAGTATAGGCGTAGCTAGAACCGCGCGCGCGAGACATGTGTAGGTTACGCGAGTTGACAGGCCCTCGGATTTTCGGATCTCAACAACGGCTGATTCGATAAATTTCTAAGTGGACTCAATCGATAGCTTGGGTTCGATTTGCATAATAAAAGTGTTTTTATTTTTCTCCTACGTGTACAGCTTTACGCAGCGGGTATGTGCATGACAATGCGACGTTGTCGCGTGCGTGCGAGTGACGCAAACGTAAGCTTGCCGAGTGTCGAGCCAGAAGAACTCGGCGCGAAATTACCACAGACTTCTATATAGAAAAAAGTCCTCTATCATGAGATAGGTTTTTAATGTGAGACAGCAGGTTTAAGGCCGAATCAGACTAGCAATTGCCGGCTCGGATTGGATTGGCGACTGATGATTGCCCGTTAGCCAATGAGAGTCGATTCAATCGCCGGCTGCTTCGCCGTCATTGGCTAGAAAAGACAATCGCCAATCCCAATCCGATCCGAGTTGGCAATTGCTAGTCTGATTCTGCCTTTGCGTAAATAAAGCAGTTATGAGGTCTGTTCGCGTCGCATGCCCCAACATGTTCCAGCTTGCCTCAATGACCAATACCGTCACTTAAATCGTAAATAAAATGACGGTATTGGTATCGTTGGGGCAAACAGGAGCATGTTGGGGCATGCGACGTGAACAGACCTAGTGATACACCGATGCACACATACTACTTTATTTACCTAATAAGACACGGGCGAACTCTTGCCTCACTTTTCAGCTCGACGGTAGTAGTCTAGTAGTATATAGAAGTCTGTGGAAATTACGCGCGAGAATCTCGGGATTCTTTCTGGACGTAGGTGGCACAGTGAAGATACGTCGGACACGGAATACACGTATTATATATCGGCTCGCTCGTGGCAAAACGCGAGCGTTACTCGTGCGCGCGCGCTTCCATGTCCAGGGCGCAGAGGCCTAGCGGGGAAGGAAGGAAGGAAGGAAGGAGAGACGCCGACTTTGTAACAAGTTCGAATTCCCACAGCGGCGTAGGCACACCTACGCCTGCTCGGCACGACGAGACCGGGTGGAGGAAGGAGAAAGAGGAGGAGAAGAAGAAGAATGAGAAGGAGAAGAAGAAGAAGACGAGGAAGGCAGCAGGAGCGAAAGAGACGAGGCAGACTCACCATGTGAACGTTGGAGAGGCCGATCGGATCGCTCTGCTTCTTGTCCGTCTTCTTGGCCTGCCGCTTCGCCTTGCTCTCGAGGAAGCGCTGCTTCAGCGCTATCGTGTCCTGTAAATTCTGTTCGCACAACCCGTTGAAACTCTGATCGAACCTGGGGGCGCAATCGGTCTGTCGGCGCCGATAGCTCTCGATTCTTCGTCGCAGGCGGTCCACGACCGCCTGCCTCTTCGGGGGGGCCACCTCACCCATGCCGGGTGCCTGGCCCATTTGCTGCTGTTGCTGCTGTTGGTGCTGTTGCTGCTGCTGGTGCTGCTGATGCTGCTGTTGCTGCAGGTGCAGCTGCTGCTGGCCGGCTAGGCTCAGTTGACCGGCGTTGAGCTCATGGATCGCGGATTGGCCGAGAACGTTGCCGGCGTGGCCGTTCGGGCCCTGGCCCGCGCACACGGAGATGCTGCCGGGGCCGACGCCGGGGGGGCCTTGCGGGGGCTGACGGGGCAGGAGCCCCCCCGCCTCCATACAGCCCCCTAAATCCACCGCAGGATAAGCCAGTTCTCAATGCTGATTGCCACCGAGGTGGTCGCCGTCGTCCTTTATCACCGGCTTCACCGCCGTCTGCGTGACGCGCATCCTCCGCGTCCACCCCGCTGGCCCGCCGACAATCGTGCCTGACTTCCGGGCGCAGGGGAGCATCTGGCCCTACCGCGCCGGCCGGCCGGGCTTGACCGCGGTCAAGATCGACGTGTCGCCCGTCGAGGACGCTTCTCACGGCGACGATTGCCCTTTTCCTCTCGCAACACCGACGTTCGCGGGCAAGGGAAGAGGACTCTCCCGTCGTTGTTTCGGGATTCGATTCGGCCGCGGGGACACCGGGGTCGTGCACGCGCGCGCGCGGGGGCCACGGAGCGCGCCAACTTCAGGCTACGAGCGTAACGCGATGCCGCCGGCGCGCGCGCACGCGGCACCTACGCGACGGACTTGGTCAATGAACGCGCTCGCGTTCTCCGCCTTTTGTTTCCCGATCCACGTGACCGAGTGCGCGATAAGCGCGCGCGTCGTCGCGCGGCTCGTTCTCTCTCTCTCTCTCTTTTCCCCCCGCACGCTCTCTCACTCCGGAGACTCTTCCTCGTGTATTTCAAAACTCCGCGCAACCGCGACCTCCTACATCCGCAGCCACGTTCATGATTGTAACGGCCCCTACGTTTACGGCGAGCCAAACACACACGGATCGGTTGTTCACTTTCTACGTGGAAAAAAAACGTCACTTGTTGCAGCTCCCCAGGATCGAGCGCCGCACGACAGGACTTGGAATATCGGCGGCCGAGGCGCGCGGGCCACCGCGTACTGTCACTCTCGGCGACGACGCGCCGCGCGGCGCGGAAGATTCGACGACGACGGCGGGACGGAAGGTTCGCCGCGCGCGACTAACTCGACGATAAGAGCCCGCTCGAGTCCTTTCTCTCGCGCGCTCCTTCTCTCTCCGTCCCGCGGACGCCGCGCTGTCCTCCTCCTCGCTCCTCCCGCCTCGCTCCGCCCCGCGGCTTCGCCGCGCGCGTTGCTCTCGTCGCGGCGGTGCCTGGGCCGCTGCGTGGAGCGTGGAGGGGAGGACACGGAGCCCGCGACACACGAGACTTTCGCGGTTTCACAATCGGGCGCCTCCTCCTCGGCTCGGCCGGCGCGTCGCGCAGCGTAGCACGGCGTAACGTCGCGTCGGCCGTCCGCGCCAAACTCGGCGAGTAATCGCGCGGCAGAATATCGTCGCACCGATCGATCTTGCGCTCAATCGCGCCGAATGATCGGTCGCCGCGGTCGGGGGAGGCACAGGCACACTGAGTAAACGGCGACGCGACGCTCGGTATTTACGGCGCGGATTTGCCCGGTGCGTCGAGCGCGCTGGACGTCACAACAGGTAGTTGAGCGAGGGCAGCGTGCTGCCGCTTGTCTGGAGAAAGAGAAGAAAAGAGAGCGGGTGGGAGAGCGGGAGGTCGTCAAACGGCACCGGCGCGGCGCGGAGCGGCGCGACGCGCGGAAGGGAGACGACGCTCGCCGAACGGAACGAGGAGGGAGCGCGCTCGCGCGGGGCTACGCCGGCGGGGCGCGGGGAGCGGGGCGTGGGGCGAAGGCGTGCGCGCGAGCCAAAGAGAGCGAGGCAGGACTGGCGCGGGAAGGGGAAGGGCGCTCTCAACGTACACACGGCGTGAGTTCCTCTCGCGCGCATTCGCCACGAATCCACCGCTCGCGTGCGACGGCAACAAACTTGCGCGTACCTTTCTGATTTTTTTTCTCTCTCTCTCTCTTTTCAGAAAGCTCTCTTCTCACTTTCTTTTTCTTCCAGCGACTCCCTGGGCGTTTAATAAACAACGATTTCGATTCCTCTGGAATCTGTCGCTTGTTTCCCTCCGCACGCCGCCTCGGTTTTCTCGAATCGTCAGCCCCGCGTTTTTCTGACGTCTCGCCGCGGACGACCCATCGGCGGTGCCGTTCCCTCGTACGCGCGCACTTTGGACCGCGCGCGGCGCGCGGACGTTGCTTCACTGCACCGACACCCCTCGGGGGCTGCCGGAGTCGATCCAACGAGCGATCGTCCCGATGAATCACGTGTCGCCCAGCGCTCGCGCTCGCGCACGCGCGCGCGCGCGCGAGATTTTGTATCAACAATTACATAACCTCGCTTTTCTCCGTCCCTGCGCTTCGTTCGCGTGCGCGCGCGCACTCGCGCGTCCCCGCGCAGCGGAGATCGTCTGGTCCTCTATTTCTCTCTCGCTCTCTCTTCTCGTCTCACGCGGACACTCGCGCGCGATCGCACCCGGCGGACGAAACGTGGACGCGCGCGAGAAACGCCACCGCGAAATCGCTCCTAGCGAACGCGCGGTGCCATTAACAGAACTGCGCGTAGGGCAGAACGGCGGAGAGAACGTGCGTCCCGTTCAAACGGCGAACCGTAATTGCTGCCGCCGCGACGCCGCCGCGCCCTGGCGGCGACGCGGCGAACCGCCTGGCGCCGCGGGGCCGCCGAGCTCCGGTCGAGCGTGGCGCCACCGTCCGGCGGATACAGGGACTCCCGAGCGAACGTCAGAAACGCGTGCCTCTTTCTGAATCCTCCTCGCGTTTTGTTGTTGAGGAACACACGTGTTGAAGATATTGGAGTTTCGCGGCTGTTCTTTTCAGACTGTTCCGCGCACCTGCCACCCACGAGTGCGACGCTCGTCCGTGGGACTCGATTGACCGTTACGGTGTGATCGTCTTGTTGAAAAATCTCCCGCAAGTGAGAAAGTAACCTCGACCGATCGAACTGGCGAGACTCTGACCCCTTTTACACCGTTAAATTGGTTGGTACGTGTATCAAGTTGACGCGGACTAAACATTTGATACCTTCCTGTTTACACCGATCTATCTCGGAACAGATTAGGTTAGGTTTTTACTCCAGATAAAGTCTAATGTTTTCGGAGTGACAAGTCTACTTCTTGTAAATCGGTCGATATTTATAAAAATAATGGAGACAAGACAAATTCTAGCGTCATTTATAACATTAGTTATAACGTTATTCGAAATTTTAAGTGTGCAGCAAGAAGCCAGAAAAACCGTCTCAAGAATATAATGAAACGTATGAGGATAAAATTGAGAAAATTGTATCTTCAACAGAGGAAAGAGTTGCTTGTACAATGGAGTCAAATGATTGATCCAAAATCACTGACTCTTATTTTAGATGGTATTCAATACCAAAGAAGAATATGGACCAAAGAGAGGACTAACGATTTTCGGCAAATAATCGTAGAAGATCATTTCACTCTGTCAGATTGGCTAGCTACTCTTCGAATGTAGAAAAAAAAACTTTCACAACGCTTCGTGACATTGTTCGAACAGAGTTAGAACCCAAACTTCTTTTCCTGGTATCCAGATAGCCTTTATCTGTCGAAAAACAGGTCGCAATAATTCTGTATAAATTGATCCGAAATAAAATCGTTTACAGCGCGCTGACATCTTTTGATACGCGTATCAACTTGGTCTGATACTCGCGAGTCAGGAGTATCGAACCAAAATGATCCACGCGCGTTTATACCAAACGTATCAAGTGATTTGATACGGATATAGTACTTGGTACGCGTTGCTTCCGACGGTTTACGCACTTTGGCTCGAGATCTTTGTTGATGTTTTCCACAGACGACGCGATGTCTCGTCTTTGATTTCGGAAAATGTGCTGTAGAAAATTTCCGGCAAGTCCTTCCAAGGGTTTAGGCATTAGAACTGTGTTGAAACATTTGAACACATGTTCTGCGTGGCGTGATTTGAGATATACAGATTGTCTTACGTTAAAATGCCCAAAAGTGAGATATAGATACTAATCTGAATTAATATTTCAGAAGTACAAGAAGTTTGCCAGCGCTTTGCACCAAGAATTCCCTGTTTGTCTTGGTGTTTTATATCGCGCATTTATTTATTTTGAACGTGTGTCTAATTGAAAGAAAGGAGCTTTAAAAATCGCAGCGTCAAATATGATTTCAGTTTTATATTGCAACGTTAAAATACTTTTTAAAAATTATATTTCAGATAATACCAGATGGCTTCGGACGCAAAAAGGACAATCTTAGGTGGGATAAAGCCTAAAACTAAGCTGCCGGTAATATTAGGCACGAAGCCTTCTTTGAGGAACTCACAGTTGCTTGTTTCAACGGGGATACCTTCATTAGACAGCACGATAGGCGGAGGTTTACCTATTGGCACGATATTTTTAATTGGTATGCATATTTATATAATTGCTTATATAATTGATTTTTAAAACATTTTCTTAGTATAATTTCAAATTAATTTTAAAAAATTAATTTTAAAAAATTAATTTGAAATTATACTAAGAAAATTGAATACAAGCTCGGTTTTTTTAAAATCAAGGAACTAAAAATGTAAAGCCAATAGTATTTTATTTAATTATTGTATTAACATCATCGACATATCATTATAGGGACACTATACGCTGAAGATGACTAAGTACAGTCGAAACGTCCGTTAATTATTTCTACACAAACATAGATTTAAGAAATTGCGTTTTCATACTGTCATCATCAAAAGTCAGATTAGAAAAACAATGTAATTTGTACAGCTGACTTGTATTGTTTTATTAAATTATTTGTCGCTCGTAATACTATTGGTCTTACATTTTTAATTCCTTAATTGGAAATTGTTTATTATTTTAAATTCGTAAATTTGTTGACAACAACATTCCACTTAAACGATACTGTGTTATGTCCGAAGAGAAACCGGCGCACAGATGGAAAACTGTATATGAATTCACATTAAAAATTATTGGCTATCTACACCTTGCTTGGACCTCTAAGGCGTTTTCGTTCATTTATATATTTGTGTTTCTTTTGCTAGATATGATATTTAAATGATATTGAAATGATATTTAAAAACATTGCACACGTGTATGTTTCATAAAATATTTACTTCTAGAGGAAGACAAGTATGGCTTCTACGCTAAAATCATGTTGAAATATTTCATGGCTGAGGGAGTGGTCATATCTCAGCCTCTGCTCATTGCGTCTCAAGATGCCCAATCTTCCCAACTTGTGTCGGGATTACCTGCGGTTGTAGACGACTCAGAAGAACGTACGAAAGCTACAGATAATGCGAATGAGCCAATGAAAATAGCTTGGCGATATCAGAACATGAAACTGGTAGATCCAACCCCCGCGGGAGGTCGAATATTTGGTCATTATTACGACCTCTCAAAACTGATGCCGCGGGATCTCTTAGAACGTTCTGACATAAAACAGTGGCAAAATAATGAGGAAACGACAATGGACAAGAACGGTAAATTTCAGAACGCTGCGTATACTGATCTATTGTGCACCGTAGAAAGAACTTTACGCGATGGGCAACATTTTCTCTCTGACGCGCAGGATGGGAAAACCAAGATCTTAAGAATCGCGATTCATTCTTTGGGATCTAGATTGTGGCTTAGCAACACGGAGGAGGATTCGAATCGTGATCTGTTAAAATTCTTATATTGCTTCAGAGCACTTTTAAGGCAGTCCTATGCGGTCGGCGTAATAACTATACCAGTTAATAATTTCGATAATACTGTAAGTATAAAGAAATTACTTCTGTGTCACAAAGACCAATCTCACAGTCTACATTTTTTGTTTTCTAGGATAACGTTATCGAAAGACTCGAGCATTTGTCGGATATAGCAGTCGGAGTAGAATCGTTTGCAGGATCTGTAAAAGAGATCAATCCGTTATTTAAAGAGTATCACGGTCTTTTGCATATTAAGAAATTGTGTGCACTAAATGGTTTGTCACACGGCAGTTCGCAATACAGAGATCTAGTATTTAAATTACGCCGTAAAAAGTTCCTCATAGAAGTTAGTAGATTTTGATATTTTGTTTTCTTTCAAATTGATGTCGATATAAGATTTTACATTGCTTGTTTGTTTACAGGTTTTGCACTTGCCGCCAGAATTTGGTGATACGTCACAACGAGAGCAGGACGAGACGGCAATACCTAGCATCGGATGCGCGAGTGGATCTCATAAAAGTGTACTCGATTTCTAGGTTCATGAATGTTATTACGAAATTACATGTGATATTTTTGACGTGTATTTTTTCCTGGAAAAATTAAATTTCTATTTTGTTAAAATAGGTTATTTTAAATTAAAATTTTACATTCACCTCACTCTTCGCGAAGTATTATTCGAAATTCGCTACTCGAGGGTAGCGCAAGTTTGTGCCTTGCCAAGTTCGCCTCTTAACAAGCAAGTGGTAAAACAGAATTTTTACGTACGCTTAGGTCACGCCTATCCCGTTTAACGGGAAGTGCGTGGTGCGGCGGCTGAATTAATGTAGAGAAGAGGAGATAGGCTTCGTGAACACTTACAATAATGCGCATAAAGTATCTTTTTGCCATGTTACGTTGTACATGGGCTCAACCTATAAGTTCGTTTACACCGTAAGAATACAATTTGTGATGGGAGATTCCTACAATGAATACGAAATCCCCAGAATAATCATTTACTATCTATATAATTAATATCTGAGAAAGAAAATGAAACTTTCGTAATAGTATTGTAATGTTTCTTGATAAGTTAATAATATTTCAGCATAATAATAAAATAATTGCATGATTAATAATTCAAATTTCCATTGTGAACAATTGATGCCATGAAGAAACTGTAATACCGGACAATATCTAAATATTTAATAATTTTATAAATGCTTTACTATTCAAATACTATTTTTCTATAAAAAAACATAATTAAAATCTTTATTTTTTTACTTTTAAGAGTATTCTTAATAGTTTAAAATCTTTATAATACTCAATAGAAAATGGTAGTTATTTGTATTACTCTTATTACATATCAGCTTCGCATAGAAAACTGTTTTAATATCATTAACACCTTTCGATCATTTTTGTGATTTTTCTAAATTTTCCGAGATATTGAATGTTATCTTTAAAGTCTAGTACTTTAAAGCAATTTACCAAGAGACCTTTTGTACAAGGAATGAGTTTACAAAAACTCGCAATACGTATATTTGTCACTAAATAATAATAATTAAAACAACACATAAACACATAAATGTTAAAAACAATTTTTTTGTATTACTTGTTACAAAATTGTGTTTTCTTTACACCGGTTGATTTGTATCATTATTCTGTTAAAAAAAGTATTAAGGTAAGATGATAAAAAAATGAATATTTTACAAGATATTTTGTAATTTATGTCAAAATATTGGAACTTTCAAACCTTAATAACTCAAAAAGTTCTTAATAAAAAAATACTTTATTATAGCGTTTTGGAAAGCTCTCGAGGTCAGCTACAAGAATATGTAATAAAAAATAGGGGATGCCATTTAACAAAATTGGTGTGACCTTTATGTGACCTTCAAATAATTCTTCAAGGTCAAACCAATGGTACCATCTTATGGCCCCCTCGAAACCAAACAACTTTTGTCTGAAACTTTTTTCGAAATAATCCATTCCAACCGAGAAATATTATTGTTTCAAGATAAACGCCCAACCCTGTATTTAATTATAAGTATATGTATAGAGAATTGGACGTAAAATGTGTCCATTCGTGTTCTTTTTTTACATATATATAATCTCGGTTTGTACATACATATAAAAACATAATAAGAAAAGAATTAAAAATAATCAAAAGGATAAGTTTTGCATTTTTTTTTTCATTAGAAGTTTGAAGAAAGAATTGTCCGTAGGGTGTCCCGAAATTCGAGGATAATAAGATTGCAGCGCGAAAGTTTGTGAAAAATTAAGTAAGAAAAGTGAATACCATTGTGAAAAATTAACTAGTATTTTAAGT